AGATAAAATGTTATGCTTCTAATTTAAGTCCCAAAAATATTCTTTAGAAAATCGCATTCAAACGCACCAGACTACCTGGCTACTTATTAGAGAGGGTTAGCTGGTTCACCGGGTCGGCCAGATAAAAGCCGGCTGCCCCGTGTTGCTTGGATCTTTGCCTTCCAAGTTCACACCCCACTCTGCAGCGGAAGGCCACAGAAACTATGTTTCTTTAGTGCCCTGCGTGGCCCACTAAGCAAAGGGGGGTCCCTCCCTCCAATACACACCATTCGAGAGTGCGTCTGAAGAACTGAAAGCATTAAACATACTGCGTTAGAGGAAATTATGCTCGCCAGATCCCCCTCTTTCAAGACGCGCACTGTGTTTGTTCAGAAGTCCCCTGCCCAGCTCCCCGAGTAGAAGCACAAACTGACGGGAACCAAGAATGGGAAGACCCACGTGGCCTGGGCGGAGCCACACGGACAGCAAGAGGGGGAAGGTTTCGGTGGTTGCACCAGAGAGCGAGCGGGGGTGGTGCAGGTGGAACGGGCCATGCAGACCAGGGTAGACCCCCTCATGTCTTCAGCAGAGTTGCCAGACTCACTCGTGGGTGGTGTTTGTGGGCTTGAAAGCAGACAAGCCAACCAAAAAAAATCAGACAGGCTGACTGTGCCCCACATGGGGCGGGGCAGAACACACACCATTGGAGCAGATCCAGGGGTCAAGGGGCACTCGAGGAAGCAAAGCACGGGGTCCCCCAAAGCCAAGGGTCCTGGAGAGTAAGGGTCTTAACCCAACACCGGTGAGCACACAGGCGTGCTTTGCACGTTTTAAAATGAAGTCAAATAATGTGCTGCCTTTCTGCCACCTAAACACATCCAGAGCCCAGCTAACCTCTCTGGGCTGCCAGGCAGGAAAAAGGAACCTCAGGTGCAGGAACAGAACAGCCAGCAGCAGGCGGCAGCTTCGGCCCGGGGCGCACAAGGGCCACGGGCTCTCACGTGCCTGGGGTTTCGAGCTGGGCTGGGGCAGTGCTGGAATCACTGGGAGCCTCTTGAGAACTTCTGGGATCTTCACCGTGTCCTGCTCCACGTCACCCACCAATGCGACCCCCACCCTCCCGCCCATTCCCTCGGATCATCGATAACATGTCTACAGCATCACCCTGAAGACAGAGTCTGCCCAACCCCGGGCCGTGTGCCGGAGCTCCCGGGGGTTCGGCCTGCACCCTGGACCCACCCCACCAGGTTCTCTCGGGCAGGGGGGGGGGGAGCCAGCACTTTTGAAGCCCCCCAGGTGATTCCGTGTTACAGCCAAGGTTTGAAACACGGCTCTCCAAGTCCCGTGGGTATTATTTCTCCAGTATGGGCTTTTTAGCAAGAATTTCCTGAAGAAAGACCTATGTTTTTCCCGTCTTCTCTAAATGGTTTTCACAGGACCTTCCACTGCAGTTGAAAATTTGCCTGCGGATGCCACCATCCTGTCTGCCTATTTATGAAGTAACCACGCCACGAAAGAAGGTTTTCAGTCCACCCCGCTTGTTCCTAGGGACCCACGGAGCTTGGAGTGTCCACTCCCTTTCCTAAATACTTTTCATAATCCACTTTTTCCTTCTTTTTCATAACCCACTTGGGGATCTTGCCCAGGACTGATGTTCATTTAAACTTTGGGGAATCAGATTCTTTTCCTAATTGAAAATGAAACCTCTAGTCTTCTGGTCCTTCTTCTGTTTGATCCCAGTTTGTCAAAGACTTTAAAATTTCTCAGCAACTTCATACAGAAATGCACGCTTGGAAGAAGTGGCGTTTCTATGTGGACTGAGGCAGGCCGAGAGAATGAGGTTTGGGTTGCTCCTTGAAGGCGAGGCTCTGAGCTGTTACTGCACTCGGAAAGGTGTGGAGGATGAAAATGAGGGGGAAATGGCTCCACCCAAGCAAGGTGAGGGGGCCAGGGGTCCAACAAAGAGCGCTGGGGAGGGGCCGGTGCGGTTTACCCAAAACTAAGCAGCCTCATTCGACTGGAGGGAAGGAAGACAAAAGAACTCCATGCCTGGGGTCCTCTGGTCAGGGTCTCTCCCTGAGTGGTCCTCCGGGGCAGGATCACTGTGCTTCTTGTCTCAGAACCTTAAAAACACGCCTTACCACGTAAGAGTCCGTAACGTTTATTGAACAAACAGATGAACGAATGGGTTGGTTTTCAGGTATTCGTGGGGCAGGGTTGTCATTGTTTGTTTTTTAGTTTGTTTTGTTTTTTAACACAACACTCATGCATGTAGCTTTGCTTGTTCTTAAAAATAACAGGACACCTCCCGGGCCAGTGTGGCTCAGTTGGTTGGAGCCTCGCTCCAAACATACACCAAAAGGTCACAGGTTCGATTCCCAGTCAAGGCACATAGATTCGATTCCAGGTTGGGGTGTGTGTGAGAGGCAACTGATCAATGTTTCTCACACCAATGTTTCTCTCCCTCTCTCTCCCCCTCCCTCCCCCTTTCTCTAAAATCAATAAACATGTCCTCAGGTGAGGCTTTAAAAAAAAGATGCCTTTACCACGCTCCTGAAGTGACCTGCATGTTCCACAGGTGGGACCAACACTGTCTGCCACGCGCTACTTTTAAAGCTTTTACACAGAACCGAGTCTTTCCGACTCCCACTCCCTGCCCACCGAAGTCAAGCTTGGAAACCTAGGGCGCTGCCGACCAATGCAGTGCTTGGAAAGCTAAATTTAGCAACAAGCTCGGGTGGAACGGCTCTGGTTTCTGGACTGTGCCCTGTGTCCCACCCCCTTCTAAAAATAGCTGGGTCAGGCTGTGTACGGACCGGTCCTTCAGGAACGCGCCTCCTAACAGTCTGGGGCAGACCCCAGGGCAGAAAGGTGGCGCTCAGAGACACCACCCCCCCGCAGAACGAGTCCTGCTCCCGGACGGAGTGGAGCATGTGCGGAGTGTGTCGGTGAAGGAGACAGCAGGGGACCTCGCCACAGGGGCCATCGACCACAAGCGACCTCCTGGGTGTGTCTGTCCTTCGCTTTCCGCCCACACCTGCCTCTTATGCACCATGAACTTGTCTGCTCCCCGCAGGCAGGACCCGCACACAGTTCACCTCCACGTTGTCCGCCATGCCCAGCAGGGTGTCAGGCACAGAGCAGCCTTTGGAAAGTCCCCTGCTGTTCCTGCTGGTGTCACTGATTCTGTCCTCGCTGCTGCCACAGAGACAAGGCGGGTAGACCTGAAAACCTGTGAAGTGAGGATTCAGGGAGCACTTGTGGGGCAAAGAGCAGGCGGGGCCTCCTTGTGAAACTCGGCGAGGCCCCTCCTCACGTCAGAGGGTGGGCCGCGCAGGGAGACGAGAGTCTCGGCCGCAGCCCCACCCCGGACCCCGGAGCCCCTGCCCTTGGCTGAACCTCAGGGCTCTTCCATGCGGGAAGGAGGCAGCAGGTGACAAAGAATAAGAGGCAGAGCCACTGAGGAAGTGACAAGCAGTCGAGCATGTTTCATAGACACAGATCTAGTTGTCCTCCCAGCCACCTGCATAAGGACTTGCCTGCTGCGTGCAGAGCACAGTGCCGGGCACCCTGGACCCCAGGGCGCCGAGGACGCAGAGGCTCGTGGTTGAGTGGACGCAGGGACAAGTAACCAGCAGGAGCCAGCCCCGCTCTGGGCACCACGGACGGGGGGCGAGTTGTGAGGACGGACATCGGGACGAGCGGCAGACGGGAAGGGAGGCTAAGCCGAGTGTGGAAGGAGAGTGAGTGGCCCAGCCCAGGGGCCAGTGGCGGAGGGGACAGCATTCACAGACCCCTTGTAAGGTGCCCCACGCTCAAAGTCATTTCTGTCTGCAAGTCCGGCCTGTAGCAGGGGACAGCACATCCTAGTAGGTTATCAGAGCATTAAAGTCCCCCCCCCCGCCCTTTCCCCTTCTCAGGAAGGCCCAGGGCGCTCTGCTGGGCACCTGATCCCGTGCTTTGTTATCGTAACGCACATGGACCCGGCAAAGGGTCACGTAGCCCAGTTCACTGGCCCCTTCCAACTCCCTAGTAGGAGAAAAACAAGAATGGCAAAAAGGAGAGAAGAAACGTGTATCATCTGTATCATAAGAAAAAGTGACCTCACCAATTTTTAGACTACAAAATGAAGCGCTGTACTAACTAAACTGGAGCAAGTGAATTGTTAATTCTCTTACCACTTTTTTTACTGTGGCATCTCTCATCTTCGACGAGGCATGTGCATTTCGGGATCGGTTCTCAGTAACTGGAACCCGCAGACACCACGAGCCCCAGAGAATGCCCCTGCAAATCCCTACTCTGCCCTGTGGGACCTCCATCCCCCCGGGGACCCTCGTGCAGAGCGTCACTCCTGGCCTCCAGCTGGGCCTCGCTCACACGTCCTCAGAGCTGACGCAGCTCTCAGGATGCATGACCACTCACTGTGGTCACAGCAGCAAAGAAAGTGAAGGGACAAAAGCTAGAAGACACCCCACCAAGCAGGAGAGAGAAGGGCCACCCCCCTCAGGGTGTCTGCCCTTTGTGCAGAGAACCCTTCCGGAGACGCACGGGTGGTCTGTCCGTGGAGTTCACGTCTACACAGCCCTGGGCAAAAGTAGGCTCCCAGTTGTGAGCAGGCGGAACAGTTCGCACTTGTGTGGCTTATTCCTTTCTATGTTGTCTCCTTACAGCTGTGGACGCCCTTGCACGCCCTTGCACACCCCTGCACGATCACGAGGGGGTGGCTGAGCACTTTGGCATCTCGGCAGTCACGTGACACTGGTCATACCCAGTCACCGTCATCACCCTGGAGCCCACAGCAGTTATAAATACACGGGCCCCGAGCCCCAGCTGAATGACAATGGAGTCATGACAATGGAAATAGCTCACCCTCCGTGAGACGTCTGTGCCCTCCTGGAGAACCCTGCCAGGTCAGCGGCACGGCCATGGAGCGGTGGCCAGAGCCGGTTGGAGGGAAGCTGCAGACCTCGGGAAGGATGGACGAAGGGCCTCCCGCGGCAGAAGAGTCTCTGGTGCGCGAGCTCCACGCAGCCCTGCTCGCGGGCGACCTGCGCCGCCTGGCCCCCCTCGCCGACCGGCTCCTCCTGGGCGCGGACACGGTGCTGGAGCTCAGAGAGGAGGAGATGGAGTGGCGGGGGACCACGCCAGCCACGTTCGGCCTGTCAGGTAGCCCTGCGCCTTGGAAGCCGCAAGACCGGTGCCGTGCGGAGCTGCTAACAGGCCTAGGAACGCGGAGCCCCACGTGGGCGGGCCGCTGTCTCGGGGCCGCATCTAACACGCAGGAGCGAAGGGGGCTACAACGGGCATCCGGTGGGCAGGAGCGTTAAGGCAAAGGTGTTAGGTGACGGGATGTGAGAGGCCCCGGTGGGAAAGGCCGAGGTGTTGGTGAGAAGCACCTCCCAGCCAGCGCTGGGAGTCGGAGGAGGAGCACCCGGCCTGCAAGGACGTGTGTGGGGCCGGCCCCTGGCGTCCGGCTCTGCGAGGTCCTCCTGTGAATCCGTGAACAACAGGGTGCTGGGTCACAGCCAGGCCAGCGGGGGGCGGGCTCCCAGCACCTGCTGCTGGGAGGGAGGGGAGCAGGAGTGAAGGAACCAGAGGGCCTCGCGTGTGTGCCTCTGTGCCCTCTTGCTGCCTGAAGACCCCGGTGGGAGAGCTGCCCCTCACCGGGTGGGGAGCAGCAGGCTTGCTGGCCCCCAGGCTGCAGCCGCTTTCTTGGCTAGCACCCCGCCCTGGGCACACCTCACCCCCCTTGCCCAGATGCAACACACCACCAGAAGGGTCAGGTGTGGGCACCACAGTGGCTCTGCCAGACCAAGAGGATTTGAGACTCTGTGGTCAGTGGGCCGACGGCCAGTGTCCCGGGTCCCGACTCGTGAGCTGTGGCAAAGGATGAGGAAGGCCGGCTTCCAAAGCTCAGACTCAGTCCCGCTTGCACCTCGGAACCTGCAACATTGTTACAGCAGCGCCGGGGACTGGCTGGGCCGTGGGGAGGTGGATACACTTCTGGCCCAGGGCGGCCCGGAGCGGTCCCGGGCCTCCCCTCCACCACAGGGTCCAGACGGGGTGCGCATATACCCCCAGGGCTCAGCGGCAGGTCAGTCAAGGATGCCAACTCTCAGAATGCTTGATTAATGTTTATTTTTTAAGTCATGCTGCCCAGCCCTGAACACGTGCCCAAATGTTTCCATTTCAAATACGTACTAATGTCCCCTTGCCCTGAGCCCACCCTCCTCCCTTTTCCCTCCTTCCTCTTTCCTCCCGAGGAGCTGCTGTGTCACTACCGTGCACCTGTGTGACAGGACACCAGGGGCACCCGGTGGGGGAGAACGAGCTGTCCACGGGGAAGGGGCAGCCTCACGCAGGCTGGGAAGACGGGGCCGCCCTTAAGGCTGCTGGGTCCCCGCCCTCCCTGCCCAGCCACCTGTCTTCCCCTGAGGCCAGCCCAGCAGCACACATGACATGTGATGACCACCTGGCGGCCAACTCCAGGGGGCCGGGGGGCCACCAAGCAGGGTTGCAGTGGCTGTCCCCTTGGCCCAGCATTCCTGGGGGACTACTGGCCGCACCCAGCTGGAGCCCAAGGAGACCGCTGGTGTGGAGGAGCGGGCGTTCAGCAGGGCATGCCACATGGGAGAAGCCCACCTCCGTGTTCCTCCTCGTGACACTTGAAGTCCCTTGTCACCCCCATATTTAGCAAAGCCCTCCTGCCTTGTGGGGGTGGGAATCATAGGAAGCTGATTCAGGCTTTCTGATCCCGAGAACTGTCTCAGAACCTGGGTTCTCTGGAAGGCTGGACGCTCGGCGCGATCTCCTAGGGCAGGAGTGTCAAACTCATAGTCTCCGGGGCCACATCAGCCTCACGGTTGCCCTCAAAGGGCCAAATGTAATTTTAGGACCATATAAATGTAACTGCTCCTTCACTAGGGGCGAGAGGCTCGGCGCAGCTGCCAGCTAGAAACAAGGTGCCGGGCTGGATAAAACCAGGTGGAGGCCAGATTCCGCCCGCGGGCCTTGTGTTTGCCGCCTGTGTCCTAGGGCCTGGACAAGCAAGCTGTCCCTAATCCAGGCCTGGGCTGTGTGCCCACCACGGCCCCACCCTGTCAGCGCTTGGGAAGGCGTGGGAACCAGGGCAGGGACCAGCCGCCAGGGGTGTGAGTCAGGCTGGGGACTCGGCATTTCCTAGAGAACGGGGCGCCCCTTCCTCCTAGTCCCCCAGTAAGCAGGTTTCTGTTGCAGGGAAATGAGTAGAATCGAGAACCAGGAGCCGGCCCTGCGGGCAGGTAGGTCATTGTTATCCTCAGGAACCAGCTCCCGGCTCCAAATCAGGCACCGTCCTTCCTGAGAACACAGGCCAACGCCGTGCAGGCCCCTGTCCCTCCAGCCACCATCGCCCACGGCCGGGACTGCAGTGGGTGGCCCACACTGCCCCCCCAGCCTGGGCCCTGGGGACGCGGGCAGGCCGGAGTCTGCAGGGAGGTGATAATGAGGGGTTTTTCAACACCGCGCAGCGTGGGTCCCGGGAAGGAGGTGGCCTGTGGAAAAGGGTCTCCTTGGCAGCTCATTACAGACACTGTATCGATTCTTCCATCGTTACCAGAAGGCAGCTCTGCCGTGTGAATTCCTGTCCCTTGAAGTGTATTCGCCAGGGACCGTGTCCCCCCCGTTTCCACGAGCGCTCCGGCCCGCTAACAACCTTCCGCGGGCCTTTTGAAAGCCCGAAGTTTTCAGAGAAGGGAAACGTGTAGCACCTGCTCCATTCATCCTGCAAGAACAAGCAATCTACACACCCCCGCGCGCGCACAAAACCCTAAAAAGCGCAAAGAAACAAACGGGCCCTGGGCTGGACGTGGCCGCCACATCAAAGCGCGCTTCTGACGCGCAGGCCCTTCCAAGGGGACGCAACATTCTGCGTCCTCTTCCTGAGCGGCGCCGGCGCCGTGGGTCGGTCTGTTTTGTCTGTTGCCTTCTCCTCTTAATCATAAAGCGTCTGTTTGGGGCAGATGAGAGAGAGCTGGCTTCCAGAAAAATCCGCCGCCGACAGCTCACTCTCCTGCCTGGAGCTGCCCCCTGTTCAGAGCCTGGAAAATGTGGATTCCACACTGAAGTTCTCCCCCTGCCCGCCCCGCTTGGCGGGCTTTTGATGCCTCAAATGGCCCCTAAGGTCCCAGTGACCCCCACATTTGGCAAAGCCCTCTGCTTCTTGATAACACCCCACAATTCTTTCAGTCCCCATCTCTGCCTCCTTCCCGGGGTCCCAGAGCTCTGCCCCCGGGTGTCGGCACCCTGTCTCCCCTCTTCCTACACCGCGGTTTGCCCTTGATAGCTCTCTGCCCCTCTCTCTCCCAGCTGCTCCCCGACCCCACCCCCTCCTGGCGTGTCCACCAGGATCTCCCTGCTTTCCCTGTCCCAGCCCTCAGGGTCTTTGTGTGTCTCACTACATGCCCACCATGTACCTGCTTTCAAGAGATGGTTTCACCCTGTTTTGGCCCTCGTAGACATTGCCCCACACCGGTGCCCCCTACTCACCTGACCTCCCCAACCCCCACCCCCAGGTCTCTGGACCCTGGAGTACAAGCGTGAGCTCACCACACCCCTGTGCATCGCCGCAGCCCGAGGCCACGAGGCCTGCGTGGGCTACCTGCTCGGCCGAGGTGCCAACCCAGACGCCAGCCCCGGTGGGCGTGGACCCCTGCATGAGGCCTGCCTGGGGGGCCACACGGCCTGCGCAGAGCTGCTGCTGCAGCACCACGCGGACCCCGACCTGCTCAGCGCCAAGGGCCTGGCACCCCTGCACCTCTGCCGCACGGCCGCCTCTCTCGGGTAAGTGACGCTGCCCGGGCAGGCCGGCCACCCCACCCCCCACCCCCCGCCCCCGGCCACGGCTCCCGCAGCCAGCCAAGCCCCTCCACCCCAGGGACCCTAGAGCCTACTGCAGCCAGGACGGATGGGACCCCTGACACCTCCTGCGCCCTGACGCCGCCCAGACCGCGGACCAGCCATCCACCTGGACCCTGCCTTGGCCAATGCTCCCCAGCTGGCCACGCCCCTCCGTCCCCGTCCCCGCCCCCAGGACCAGTGGTCCCCGCCCCCGGCCCGACCCCACTCGGCCCTTCCCAGAGGTGTAATTAGCCTTGATTGCGAGCGCGGGGGGGCGGCGCCACACCGAGCTAATGAGGGGGCTGATCAGGCCCGCAGACGTGCGCTGAAGAGTGTGCTAAAAGGCCACTGGCGGGGTTGGAGGCTGAAAAATTAGAGTTTTTAATGATAATTTTATGCAGAATAATTGTCACAGTGTGACATAAACGGCTAGCTCCTCGGGCGGGGCTTCCGCGTCCCACTAGGAAGCCGCGCAGGGCCGGCCTCTTTCGGAGTTTTCGGGCGCAGCAGCCCGGGCCCACGGCCTCCGAGTGGGTGCTCCGGCCCGGGAGGTGGCGCAGCCACCCTGTCCAGCTGGCCTTCGTCCTCCAAGAGTGTCTGTCCCCATGGGGTCCAGTGGGCCCAGGAGAGGCTGTGGGGCCACGTGTCAACGCAGAGGATTTATGTCCCATGTCTTGGCTTGCAGTGTGTCATCCTGACATTTCTCTTACTCAAAACGTCCTGGTCCCTGTCCCCGGGGCTGTAATTTCCCGTGCTTCTGTCTCTGGATGGAGAATTGAATAAAATCACCGTGTGAAGTGTAGGCAGGCAGGACTGCTGGGCTCTCCGTGACCAAGGGGAGGCCCCACCGACAGATGTCACCTGAGTTCAGGGTGGGGACTGAGGCAGGCAGGCCACCAGGAGCAGGAGAGCGACCGACAGAAGCAGCGTGTGCCGGCATAACCACGTGCAATACGCTGCCTGGGTTCGAAGTGCCACGATCTGACGAATTTGGACAGACCTCTATGCACTCTGGAAACCGTCCCTACAATCAGGAGGGCAAACTCACCATTGCCATCAAAAGGGTCCCTTGGCTCGTGTTGCCTCCTCCGCCCCCTCCTCGGTTATAGCACCAATCTGCTTTGGGCGCCGTAGTTCAGTCTGAATTGGCTGGAATCCAGGATAAATGGAACGTCCTCTTCATCATCTGGCGCCGTTCACTCCCCATCGTCACTTTGAGAGCCATCCTTCTGTCGTGTGTGCCCACAGCTCCCTGCCGGCCGCGGCCGCATGGGTATGGGTGGGTGTTCCCCAGTGTGGCTGTCCCTCCCTCCCTCCCTGCGCGGAAAGGCTGCCCCTCGGTCCCAGCTTCTGGCTGCTGCCGTACAGCTGCGGCGGACACCTGTGCTCCGGGCTTTGTGTGGGTGCCGGCTTTCCCTTCTCCTGGGTGAGTGCCCAGGTCTGGATGGCCGGGTCACAGGGTGTGACGGAAAGACAATCTTTTGAGAAACTGCCACGCTGGTGTCCTCTGTGGCTGTGCCATGGTGCGGGCCCACTGGCGGTGCAGGAGGTCCGGTCACGTCGCATCCCTGTAACTGAACGCAAGTCCCGCTGCCCACCCCTGAGAGGGCCAGTACTCAAGAGGCAGGTGCTGACATAAAAGAAGGTGGTTTATTTTCAGGTGCCGGCCACCTGAAATGGGGAGATGGGGACTCACGTCTCAAAGCCCATCTCCCCCCTCAGTGGAGGCAGAGGTATTTGTAAGGAGGGAATGGGAACAGACAAATCCAGGGAGGGGTCGCCAAGTTCTCCCCGTACAGACGAACACAGCCCATTCCGGTAAGGACGGTCCGGTGCTCATCCTCCAGGCTTAGTCGTCCCAGGTTCCCGTCATCCTCGCTCCATGGTCGAAGGTCAGCATCTCTCCAGGAGCTGGAACGGCTGCGGGTCGGGGTCTGTATCTTTTGACGACGTTAGTTTCCAGGATTCATCTACAAGCTACACATTAGTCAGAGTCCACACTTGAAGAAGCTGTGTCAGAAGAAAGGCAGGTGGGCTCCAACCCGCTCTCTCCCCCCCCCATGACCTCACCGGTGCTCGGTCCGGCCACACGGTACCCCTAGATGGTCTGTAGGGGTGGAGCCTCCAGCTGCATTTCCCTGGAGACCAGTGATGCTGAGCTTCCGTGTGTGGATTTACCTGCCATCCCTGTATCCCCTTCCATGGCCTGTTCAAATCTTGTGCCCGTTTAAAACCAGGGCTGTTTGATTTGTTCTCCAATTTTGAGATTTCTTTCTTAACTTTGGATACAAGTCTCCCCAGACATGTGATTTGGGAATGTGATCTCTGGCCTCTGCGTTAGAGTTTCTTCTCTCACAAGGGTCTTTTGAAGCCCAGAAGTTCTTAATGTTGCTGGCACCCAGTTTACCGATTCTTTTCTTTCAGGGATGACGTTGGGCTACTGTAGCTAGAAAACCCTTTGCCTCACCCAGGCCACAGCGATTTTCCCCTATGCTTTCTTCTATAAATTTAATTATCTTATATTATTTTACATTTATGTCTGGGGAGCCATTAGGAGTTAATTTTTGAACATGGTGTGAGGTGTGGATTGAAGGTTTGTTTGGATTTTTTTTTTTGCACGTGGATATTCCGTTGGTCCAGCGCTATTTCTCAGAAAGCCTCTCCTTTCTCCACTGAGCTGCCTTTGTGCCTTTGACGACCATTTCCGGGCCTGCCAGGTGCATGCGGGGGAAGTCCAGGTCTCGGTTCGGACCAGCCGTCCCTCCCACAAACAGGGAAGAGAAGACTACCCGGAGGTGCCAGTTCCTCGTGGCCCTTGTCCCACACACCACAAAGGACGACCCCTAAACAAAAGGGAGCAGTTGGTGACAATACGAGTTGTGGCGGCCCGTTGCTAAGCAGCCCAATCTCGGCTTCAGCGGACCGGCTGTATAGGTTTTATAGCCCACAGCTGTGTTCTGAGCAGGCAAGGCAGGAAGTCTCTAACCTCGGGGGGGCCCAGCAGGCGGTGACAAAGCATGTCCCTCGAGAGCCCCCTGGGTGACATGGGGAGGCAAGTGGGCTGCGGGCTCAGAGCAGCCCCTCACGCGTCTCCCCTGGGGGGGTCACAGGGCGTTCCACCCAGACCTAGACCAGCAGTGGGTCACCTTTGTCCCATGGCCTCTGGGGATACATGTGAAGTCACCGGGGCCGTGGCAGCTGGCAGAGCCGTCCCTCCCTGGTTCTGCCTCACTGACACACGAGGCTCTTTTGCCAGCAGCACCACTGTGTGACGGCCGCAGCCCCGTGAGCAACCCTGGCCTCGCTCAGCTCACGGAACCGGGCCAATGTTAAGTCCTGAACTCAGACAAATGCGCCATAACTTCGTAAGAGCTTAACTTCACGGGAAGTGGGGTAAAGGGTATTTGAGAACCGTCCGCATCATCTTTGCAACTCCTCTGTACATCTAACCTAACTTAAAAACACAGAGTTTTCAAAAAGCAAGTTTGCTTCGCGCCTTGAGCTCCAACCGTGTTAGAAAAAGATGTCCGTTTGCTGGGGAATGAGAACTCAGCACCGCCCCCCCTCCCCCAGGCACCAACGCCGTGAACCCCGACCACGGCCCCAGCGCAGGAGCACACGCCCGCACGGGGGCGTGGCCACGCGGGGCTGCGCATCACACAGGCCAGCAGTGCTACTCCGCTTACGTGTCGCACAGTAGAGACCAGTGTCCTCGCCCCGGTTGGCTTTGCAAAAATGGTACAGGTCCTGGGGACTGTTTACTAAGGACTTTGGAAAGGTGTCTGTGCAGCAAGGCTCTGAGACGTCCCTTTCCTCCTCCTCCTCCGTCTCCTTTTCCTCGTCACCTTCTGTCCAGTGTCCAGGTCTCTCTGTGAATCCTCCTGCCCATCCATTTAATCTGACGGTCTCGACTCGTTTAAATCCTGGTTATTGGGGGAAAGTTCCCGGGGTGCCGGAGACACCGGGAGTTCAGGCAGGGCGGCGCCGCCGCGCACTCGGAGTCCCTCCGCTCCCCGTGGCTGCGGTGGGAAACGCGGCCGATGCCCCGAGATGCACCGGCAACGCCGCAGCCCAGCGCCTCCAAGAATAAAAGCTAATAGATGTCAGGAAGGGCTGGAGGTTTTGACCACGCGTTTCAGCTTCAAGAGTCCCCCGAAGTCGGTCTCCGAGGAGGCCCAGCTTCACGTGGTAGGGACATCGTCACTTTGACGAGAAAGCGCTGCTTTCTCTGGAATCTTTTCATACCCAGATTTTAGGTCATCCTTAATGTTTTTTCACCTTCCAGTGGAGAGAGGGTCCTTGACCTCCACGCGGAGCCATTTCATTTTCTTCTTCTGGATGACAGCGGTCCCCACGCCTCGGGGCCCGGTCCTGCCAAAGCCCTTTCAGTCGGCAAATCTCCGTGGGCGCAGGACTTTCAAACCTTTGAGTCTCTGAGTTCCTGGGATTAGAAAAAAAATTGTCTGTGCTCCCTTCCAACCCGCAAAAAGGAACATCCGCGCTTTAATCTGAGAACCTTTTGAAGAGATTTTCCCCGAAAGAAAAGTTCAGGGAAAGTTACCGTCTTCCCGTCAGTAGCCAGCCTGCCTGCCTCGCCCTCTGCATTACGGAGGGCTCGCCTCGACCTTCTTTCAAATCCTGAGATGATTAAAATGAGAAAAGAATTAGTCGAGTGCCAATTCTTCCTCTCGGCTGAAGCCGTCTTGATTTAAGCAGCCGCATGAAGGGCCCGCCTCCCCTGCCCACGCATTAGCACCAGGCTTGTGAGTTTACGTTTCTGTCCCAGCTGTGGCCATTCCAGTGGCTGAAAAAATAAGTCACAAGCCAGTGCCGGGCCCTCAAAGGTGGCGAAGCATCTCCGGGGAGAAGGTCACGGAGGGAGGAGGTCGTTGGGCAGTTCCTGCCCAGTTCAGACCTGGAGGGTCGACGTCTGGGCGGAGAGG